GGACGGTGGCCTGGCCCTCCGCCGGGCAGCGGTCTCTGCCCGGCAGGTGAGCGGACTTGAGGTCAGTGGCAGAGGCCCGCGAGCAAAGGGGGTTCTGGGGTGTGTCTGGTGTGGCTTGGTCTCTAGAGATAGTCACTTTTTTACCACAATAAAGGAAGGAGGCTGGCGTGACGCACGGGGCGTGCGCAGGGCGTCTGGTTGTCTCCCGTCACGCGGGTAGGGGCTGGGGCGGAGGGGCCCGGGGGCTGGTGCCCGTCCGCGGGGCTCCAGGCTGTGGGTCCCGACCACAGGCAGCGTCCTGGCCGCTCCTGTGGGGCCTTCAGAGCCCCCCTGTGTGCGGAGGAAATGCTGTGACTCCCGGGCCGCCGGGGCTCCCTGTCTCCAGCCAGGGCCTGGGGCAGAGCTCGGCTGGTGGGCGGGTGGGGTCCCCGGGCCCCACACCCCCCTGACGGCCTTTCGAATCCGACCCCTCAGTTTTCTTCCCCTTGGGGGCCCGATGACCACTGCTGGCCATGGCCTCAGCCCAGCATCCCACAAGGGAGGCGGTGGGCCCCCCACTTTGTAGTTGAGTACTGAGGTACAGCTGGTTGGGGCACAGTCTCTGTCCAACCCCAAGGCCCTGGGGCCCACCCACAGCCTGCTATGCCCGAGATGTGGGGTGTGGACTCTGCCCTGCTGCGTGTGTGTCCCTTGACCCCCACTCCACTCCTGGTGCTCAGCTCCACTTGAGCGTGTCCCCTCGGGGGGAAGAGCCACCGTTTCTGCTTCCAGGTTCCCTCTGGCTGAGTAAGGTGTGGCGCAGAGAAGGGGCTGGTTGGGCGTCTGCTCAGGGTTTGACACGCGGGGTAGAACCAGGGAACGGCCCAGGCAGCCGCAGAGCTGCCGGCACCGCGGCCCTGTCTTGGGAGGGCAGATGGCTGCACTCCCCCGGCCAAAGGCCCCCAGCCTCGGGCGCCCCGCGCCCCTGAGATGAGCTCAGAGCCAAGGAGGCCCCCCCACGGCCTGCCACTCTTGGAATGTCCGGTCCACCCCCGGAGGGCCTGGCGCATGGCCCCGCCTGGACAGACTAGACGCGATCAGGCCCGTGCCGGCCAGAGGCCCCTGGGCAGGGAGGGGGCTGTCGGCCGTGCCAGCAGCTCAGGGCCCCCCGTTTCACGAGGCAGGGGCTGTCGGTAACCCTGGTCTGCTTGGCGCTTGGTCCAGCGGTGGGCGGGGTGTCCTGGCGGCAGCCACAGCCGCCCTCAGGGGCACTGCTCGTGCTCTCGGCTGGCTCCGCCTGTCGCCCAGGCCTGCAGAGACGCCCGCCCGCCGCCCCACAGCCCGCGCACCCATCCGCTCCACAGGGTCGCTCCCGTCAGACGCTTCTCTCTCCCCCGAGTCCCCTGAATCACAGCGTGGGCCTCGTCCGCCTCACTGCGTCGTGCTCCAGGCTCCAGACCGATGCCGGCCACGCCCAAGCCCCTCGCACGTGTTCAGTGAGGCAGCAGCAGGCCGCGTGACCGCGGAAGTCACCTGGCCACACTGAGCCTTGGTTTCTCGGTTTGGAAAGCAGTGAGGCGCAGTCTGCGTCAGGTGGCCGTGCGAGGGGCTGCCTGCGGCTTCCTCTCGCCCCGACCCGCGGTTGCGGTGCTTCCCGCCCCTCAGCAGAGCGCAGGGGCAGCTCCTGCCAGGCTCCCGAGCTCTCCTCCAACAGCATGTTCTGAAGTCGGACGAGGGTGCAGATCGCCACCAGTCCCCACGTGCTTGGCACGGGCGGGCGCTTTGTTCCCTGCCATGTGACATCAGCCTGGGCAGAGACTGGCACTTGACATTTCCGCGAGCTGGGCGGCATCGCTGCAGATGGGCTCGGGTCTGGCAGCGGCTTTGAGGAGCCAGACTTGCTTCCTGCCTTCCAGACCCTCGCCCGGAGTCAGAGGCCCCCAGGCGCTGGGGCCAGTTGTCCAGCTCGGCCCCTCGCCCTTGCACCCCCCCGACACAGCATGGCCAGGCCAGCGGCCTCCCCACACAGCCCACACAGCCCACGGCCGCCCCATGGCCACATCACCAACTTCCTTTCTGTCATTCCGCACACTGTTCTGTGGGCTGGACAGTGCTGAGTTCAAGAACCTTCCACGGCCCCTGTCCATGCACCTGCCGTGTTGGAGGCATCTGTGGCTTCCTCGCCCCTCCCCAAGGGCCCCTTCTCCCCAGGTCCAGGCCCCCTCTCCCCATGTCCTCTGGACAGCCCAGGGCCAGCCGGTGTCTAAGGGATATGAACAGTCAGTCGGCCTGTTCTGCTCCCCACTCTCTGGTGAGTCCTCTCACACCCCACACCCAGTTCTTGTATGCAGAAATAAATAAATCTTTGAAAATAAAGTGGCCA